CTCAAAACCCTCCCAGGACTCCCACCTCATTCAGAGTAAAAATCAGAGTCCTGGTCTATCTACATCACGCTCCAGAATATCCCTGGCCGCATCTCCTGCAGTCTCCTCCTTGACCGTGTGACCCAGCCACCCTGACTTCCTAGCTATTTCTAAACCACGCCTGCTAGGCTCTGCCTTTGCACTTGCTGTTCCCTGTGCCTGGAACACTCTTTCTTCAGCTATCTGCATGACTCACCCCTTCACCCTCTTCAGCCCTTTGCCCGGATGTCCTGCCCTGCCCTGTGAAAATTGCAAAACTCTTTTACAGAAATAAGGCCCAAACTGTGATGGCTAAAACTGGATGGGTCAGATGTGTCTGTGCTTCCTTCCAACTCTAAAAGTCAGCTTTGGTGATTTCAGACCTCGAAGTCTCCCATTCATGAAGAATGGGAACTTGAGACAGACTAGAATGTTATCAATGCAGAAGGAATGACAAGAGAGGAATCCCTTGGCCCAGGCTTACCTCTTGTTAATTTGGAAGGACTTGGGAAGTTCTTGCCCATATCCTGGCCTCCTGGCATTGCCTCAATCCCTCACTCACTGACTCACTGAGCACCTTCTGCCTAGTAGGCTCTGGAGACAATACAGGTCTGATGCCCTCTAACTCCTAATACAAAGCAAGCTGTCTCTACCTCCACCCTCATCCCAGGCCTGGCTTCTCTGTGGTCCTGCAAGTATCTGGAGCTCTATTGATGTGTCTGCTGAAAGTGGGCAGTCACAGCCCAGACAGACCTTACCCTCCCTTTGTCTCTGTCCAGTCCTTCCTTCCTTCTATTATTGTCATCTACCCTTCGGGGCCTGGGAGCAAATGGCTTTGCCTCAGTGAGAGCAGAGATGGTTTNCGTCTCTATCCAGTCCCTCCCTTCTCTTATCGTCATCCATCCTTTGGGCCCTGGGAGCAAATGACTTCGTATTTATCACCTTCTAAGACACCACATCATTTATTTATTTTTATTTATTTATTTATTTATTTATTTATTTATTTATTTATTTATTTACCTTATTTAGTGTCTGTCTTTGTCACTAGAATGTCAGCTCCCTCAGGACAGAGGTTTTTCTGTCTTTTCACTGCTGCGTCTCCACACTGAGCACAGTGACTGACACAGAGGAGGCCCTCACTAACTGTGGCAGTGACTGTGTCTCTGCGTGAAAGTGGATGAGTGTGTCTCTTGGAATTAAACCTAGAAACAGGAATGCTAGGTTGCAGGGCATACATGTTTGTCATTTTAATAAATGTTGCCACGTTGCCCTCTAAAGCAGGGGAACCCATCCATTCTCCCACCTGTTGAGTTACCTTGCAAATCCTCGATGCTTTCCAACTTTTAATGTTGATCAATCTGATGGATGAAAAATGGTACCTCTTTGTTTAAATTTCCCATACTACAAGTGAGGACAGAGGCCAAGCACCCTGTCACGTCTTTAATGGCCAGTTTCGTTTCTTCTCCTAAGAACTGGCTATTTTCTCCACCTTTTTTTTCTATTGACTTTTTTCCCCCTCAGGAGATTCATAGGTGATGTTTAGTTTGTTCACATTCTGGGTTTTAATCCTTTGTTATATGTATTGGAAATATTTCACCCCTCAGTCTTGTTTGTTTTTCTTTTGTCAAACAGAATTTTAAAATTTTTGTTTGGTTGGCCTTTTCTTTTGTCTGTTTTTTCCCCCTGTGTCTTATTTAAAAATGTCCTACCCCAACATCATCAACATAGTCTTTTAAACTTTAAATTTTTTGTTGTTAATCCTTACCCAAGGATTTTTTCCATTGGATTTTAGAGAGAGTAGAAGGAAGGGAGGGAGAGGGAGAGTGAGAGTGAGAGAAAGAAACATCGATGTGAGGGACACACATCAATCGGTCGCCTCCTAAACCAAGGCCAGGGATTGAACCTGAAACCCTTCGGTGCTGAGGCCGACGCTCTAACCACTGAGAACACCGGCCAGCGCTAAAGTTTTTAATTTTTAAATATCCTTAGGGTTCTAATTCATTTGAAATTTGTCGTTATAACTGGTATGGGATAAAAATTTAATACATTTTCCCCAAATGAAAAGCAAATGTCCCAACTCCATTATTTGTTTGTCTCCGTCTGATTTGAGATTTTACTCAGCATTTACTAAATTCAGATACACATAAGGTTTGTTTCTGGACTCAAGCTCTTCTCTTGATTTTTTAAAAAAATTTCCACGGCAATACCCTACTGTTACAAAAGCTTTTGTGGAAAATTTCAAACATATCTGTATTTGAGTATGTGTATGCATATATTTGTCATGAACCTGTCACTCAGCTTCAACAATTATCAATGTGTGGCTGATCTTGTTTCAACTTGTTTCACCTACTTTCCTCCCCTACACACTCCCAATTACTTTGAAGCATATTTAAGAGTCATTTCATCCCTTCTGTTTCTATATGTATCTCTAAAAATGAGAAGTACTAAAAAACAAAATGAAACAAACAAAAACCCTCGCAGTTTACTTTTTGAAGAAACTAGATCTTTTGTCCTTTAGAATTTTCTCATCTTGATTTTGCTGATTGTATCCCCATGAGCTCAATTAACCATACTTTAAAAGTTACTATAGTTTCATGATGTTAATGTTTATGAGATCTGGTATGGCAATTGTCCTCTATTATTTTCCAAAATTCAGATGCCCTTCTTGTGCTTTGCTTCTTTCATATATATATACATATATACACACACACATATATATATATATATTTAAGAATATATATCTTTATTGATTTCAGAGAGAGGAAGGGAGAGGGAGAGGGAGAGGTAGAAACATCAATGATGAGAGTCGTCATTGATCGGCTGCCTCCTGCACACCCTGGGCTGGGGATGGAGCCTGCACCTGGGCAAGTGCCCCAACCAGGAATTGAATCACTATCTCCTGGATCTTAGGTAGGTGCTCAACCGCTGGGTCACACCTGGTTGGGCTCATATAAATTTTATAAGCAACTTGGCAAGTTTCATAACAAAACCTACTGGGATTTTCATTGGAATTGCCTTGAGCTTTTATTCTAGAGTTAACATCTTTACAATAGTGGGTCTTCCCATTCATTAAGATATATCCACCTTATTTAATTACTTTTAAAGTTATTCAACAAAGTTTTAAAGTTTTTAATTTTCCCTTAAAGGTCTTAGGTTTATTTTTTAAAGCTTTGTAGCTTTTGCCCTGGCCGGTGTGGCTCAGTTGTTTGGGCATCCTCCTGTGCACTGAAAGGTTGCTGGTTAGATTCCTGGTCAGGGCATAGGCCCAGGTTGCCTACATTATCCCTGATGGGAAGACGTGCAGGAGTCAGCTGATCAATGTTTCTCTTCCTCTCTCTTCCTTCCTCTCTCTTTGAAAAAGTCAATAAAAAATCTTTTAAAAAGTAGCTCATATAAAAAGATTGGATCACAAAAAAATAAAAAATGAAACTTTGTAGCTTTTGTTGTAATTACGGATGGCGATCTTTTTGTTCTCATCATTATTTTCTAATTTATTATGTAGAGGCCCAGGCATTCTTTCTTTTAAAAAAATATGTTTTTATTGATTTTTTTTTTTTTTGAGAGAGAGGAAGGGAGAAAGATACAGCCATGAGAAAGAATCATCAACATGGATTGGCTGCCTCCAGCACGCCCCCTGCTGGGAATCAAGCCCGGAAGCCCCCGCAAGTGCCCTGACCAGGAATCCAACCCCGGATGTCTTGGTACGTGGTTCCACGCTCAACCACTGAGCCACACTGGCGGGGCCCATACATTTTTAAAAAAATCCTAACCCAAGGATATTTTTACCATTGCTTTTCAGAGAGACTGGAAAGGAGAAAGAGACATGGATGGGAGAGAGACACATTGATTAGTTAGTC